TTTAAGGATTGGCAGGTATTTCAGGAATTTGTGTCCAACAATCTTTTGGCACTGTCCTATGTCTTCTTTCCCAATTCACATCTCTTTAGCTATACCAAAGCCTTTCCATAGCCTGACTTTGGGTGGAATCACCTCGTTGGTAAAAAATCAGTGTGGAAAAAAAATCATGAAAAGCAGTAAGTTAGTCCTCAAATACATATTCATTCAATAATTTAATAAGGATATATTAATGATCTAATGTGTTCAAAACAACACACTAGATACTTTGGGTAAAAAATAAATTAGTAATAAAAGGCACTTTCCCTAAAAGAACTTGTGATCTTGAATTATTTGGAAAATATAAAAATTATTTTTTTTTTACCCAATTTATTTATTTTGAGATAGGGAGGGAGAGAGTGTGTGAGCAGGGGAGGGGCAAAGAGAGGGAGGCAGAGAGAAAGAGAATTCCAAGCATGCTCCCATGCTGTCAGTATACAGCCCAATATGGGGCTGGATCTCAAACCTGAGCTGAAACGAAGAGCTGGGCGCTTAACTGATTGAGCCACCCAGGTTCCCCAGAAAATATAAAAATTCCTAAAGAAAGATCAAATTGATCATTCAGGGTAAGTGATTGATGAGACACCTACTATGAGCTCAGTGCTTTGTTTTGTGCTGCATTGGATGGTTACCAGGCCAACAAATTAAATAACTCTGCAGCTATCTTTCCCATTTACAGCAAATGTAATTGATGCATCTAGCTTCCCTTCAGCCAAAGAGAAGATTATATCAAATTCCATCCTAAATTTCCCATAATGATATTGTGTCAGATTATCTAAACAGAGTCTGAGAAAAAATGTTCTGCCTGTCCTCACAGGTCAAAACTAGGGATCTAGGGGCCAATACCAAGGAGCATTTAGTTATGTGGACAATTGCTTTCCTATAAATTACAGTGTAAAAATTGTCCTATGACATATACATGGTCTATCATAGGCTGGATTTCTATTTTAAACCTGGAAAGAAGTTAGGGAAAATTGTATTACTTTGCCTCTATTTACAGACAAAGACCTGGACCTGAATAATTTAGGGACATTTCCAACATCAATCAGCTAGCTAGAGACAAATAATGATCTTTTTTTTTTTTTTTTTTGGAGTGCTTATTAAATGCTGAACAATGTGGTATTTTGTTTGCATTAGGCATTTAATTCTCACAAAAAACTAAGTGATGCATAGTATTTTTACTCCCATTTTACAGATGAGAAAACTGATGCCCAGAAAAGCCATAGAAAGTACCCAAAGTCAGATCAATCAAGGTATTTAGAGCTGTGAATTAAACATGGATTTGCCTGATAACAGTGCCCATTCTCCTAAATACTCCTATATTGTTTACTTCCTGATACTCAATTTCATACTTTACCAGTTAAACTAAAAAAACTCACCCAATGCTATTAAACATCAAGAAATAATTAAAGTCTGAATACCTACCTGGGCAAGGACCTAAGACAAGGACCTAATCTCAGCATTTCACAACAATTTGATGCTATAGGCTCTATTTCTAAATCCATTTTATAGTCGAAGAATATGAGGCATGTAGAAGCTGAGTAATTTGCTCCAGGTCACAAAACTACTAAAAGTCAGAGCTGAGATTTGCACCCAAAAAGACTATTTCCAGAGCCCTGCTCTCTACCTTTCCTCAGTACTATACAAGTCAGAGGTGTATGACTTGAAAAGGGAAAAAAAATATTACCATCAGTTGATAGAAATTTCTAACTACAAAATCCAAAAAGAACCAACTAACACATTATTCGAACTACTAAGAGAATTCATATAAAAGATAAACGTTGAGGGGTGCCTGGGTGGCTCTGGCGGTTGAACATTTGACTCTTGATTTCGGCTCAGGTCATGATCTCGCAGTTCATGGGTTTGAGCCCCATGTGGATCTCTGTGCTGAAAGCAAGGAGCCTGCTTGGGGTTCTCTCTCTCCCTCTCTCTCTGTCCCTCCCCTACTCACATTCTCTCTCTCTCAAAAATAAATAAATAAACATTAAACATTTTTTAAAAGATAAACATTAATAAGTCAGCAGCTATCAAATTCACTAACATTTAAAAATTTTAAAATTTAGGGGCGCCTGGGTGGCGCAGTCGGTTAAGCGTCCGACTTCAGCCAGGTCACGATCTCGCGGTCCGGGAGTTCGAGCCCCGCGTCAGGCTCTGGGCTGATGGCTCAGAGCCTGGAGCCTGTTTCCCATTCTGTGTCTCCCTCTCTCTCTGCCCCTCCCCCGTTCATGCTCTGTCTCTCTCTATCCCAAAAATAAATAAACGTTGAAAAAAAAAATTTTTTTTAATTTAAGAAAAATAAAAGAACAGTAATTAAATATTTTTCATTTTTTTAATTTATATCCAAGTTAGTTAGCATATAGCACAACAATGATTTCAGGAGTAGATTCCTTAGTGCCCCTTACCCATTTAGCCCAACCCCCCTCCCACAACCCCTCCCATAACCCTCAGTTTATTCTCCATATTTATGAGTCTCTTCTGTTTTGTCCCCCTCCCTGTTTTTATATTATTTTTGTTTCCCTTACCTTATGTACATATGTTTTGTAATTAAATGTAATATACATGTAATGGAATAATATTCAGACATACTAAACAACGAAGTAGATTTCAGATGTATTTATCTCAAAAGATTTATTAATTTTAAGGTCATATAACAATATGGAGTGAAGAAATAGGAAACATTTTAGCTTATATACTCTTTATATGTAAGTTACTGGCACTTTTAAAACAAGCACTCTTTCATATATTATCTTTTATGTTTAATTTTATGAATATGAATTGATATATCACATATATGTAATAATTCATTATTTCTCTGAGAATGAAACTTTCTCTTCAAAAGGATTCAAGTTTAGGAAAATGTGGGTCTGGGCCATTAACTGGGTCTCACACAAGAAAGCTCATTTTGCCCTTTTCTTGGAACACCCTAGAATGAGCCAACTTGCAGAAAATTCCAGAAACAGATGTACTCCTCAAGATCAGAACAAGATACACCATTGTCAACAGAATGTGACAATCCCAGGTTCAAAAAATCCCAATTCCCTAATTTATTATGTGACTTTGGATTTAACCCCTCCATCTCTTGGTCTCTTCAAATGTAAAAAAGAATAAAGGACACAAGTAAGTAGGTAAGAATAAAACACTGAGTGGTTAGTTGCCATAGAGAAGTAGGTCAGCAAAAATGGTTAGGGGCCATCTCTGGTGTCAGTCTTCCTAAGTTAAAGTCATGGCTCCATCACTCACTAGCTGAGAGACCTTGGCTTAATTCAGCCAACCTCTCTGTATTCCAGTTCTCCATTTGGAAATTGGGGATAGCAATGGAACAAGGTTGTAGCATCATTAAGCAAATCAGCCTATACAAAGCACACCAAACAGTACCAGGCACATAGTAAGTGCTATGTATTTGCCTTCTAGAACTGTTACTCCTAAACCCAAAATTCTTCCCATTTCTTTAAGTTCCCTTGTAAAACCATCTTCCACTAAGGCATTCTGATAAGAGATCTTTTCACTGGTGTCCCAGGTACTTATGGAGAATGGATCTGAGACTGCAGCATGGAGAGCAGAAATGTACTTGGAACCAGGATCCACAAGCACTGAATGTTTATCATGGATGAGGATATTCTTGATTCCTGAATATATTCTACCTTGTAATTATACTATGTGGTGTACACTCTGAGATCATTAAGCTGCAACATGAGGTGTTATCTGGCAAGTATCAGACTAGGTTACATGCAGGACTGCTCTATCATGTAGACTTAGACAATTATGCTTCCAGACAAGATTCCCATCAGACCTTACCATGTACAATGATGCATCTGTTGGCAAGATTTGGCACCAGGGATCCTGTACCTCCCTGTGCCCAGGACAATGTTGATGATCCATCCCTCTGCCACATGTTTTGGCTAAGCTTTCTCTAAATTATTTATATAAGTAGACCTTGGTTTTTCTATTAAGTGATGTATGCACCTGGTTTTTACCTTTTACTGACATTCATCAATAAAGTGGAAATCCAAGCTTTCAATGTGTCACATTTTTGAATGTCCTCTTCTTCTGTATGAAAATATTGGTGTGTCACTGCAATTCCATAACCGGTCATAACCAGTAGTATATCTTCCTCCATTTTGTCCCACCTTCATCCTTTTTAAATTCCTTTCATAAAATTTGTTACTTTTCTTTTGTTTCATTTTTTAAAGTTTATTTACTTATTTTGAGAGAGAGACAGAGATAATGTGCTCACAACAGGAGAAGGGCAGAGAGAGAGAAAGAGAGAGAGAGAGAGAGCGAGCGCCAAGCAGGCTCCACAATGTCAGCACAGAACCCTTATGGGGGGTCAAATTCACAAACCATGAGATGACGACCTAAGCCAAAACCAAGAGTCAGATGTTTAACCAACTGAGCCACCCAGGCACCCCTCTTTTTTCATTTTTATTGCTCCTTCCTACGTGAGATTTGTTTTTGCTTATTGGTTTGGGATTTTGTTTTTTATTTTTTTATTTTCTTAATTTTAATTTTTTTTGACTATAGACATATGGGTGTATTCTGTCTTATTTTCTCTTCTTCCAATTATAACTTATTTTGTGGTCTTGTCTTTTGCTGACTAAAAAGAAAACTAAAATTTCACAAAATATCTTCCAAGAGAAACTCATCCATTAAACATAAAAATATTATTCCAAAATACCCATTGTAATCATTACAGTACCCTCTCCCCTTATCCACAGGATGTGTTTCAAGACCCCCAGTAGATGCCTGAAAGAAATCATGGAGAATACCAAATCTTGAATATACTATGTTTTTCCTATATGTAAATACTTATGATAAAACTTAATTTATAAATTAGGCACAGTAAGAAAGTAACAATAACAATACAGTGGAACAATTATAATAATATATTGTAATAAATATTCTGTAACAGAGGTTACGTGAATGTGGTTTCCCTCCTTCAATATATCTTATTGTACTAGACTCACCCTTCTTGTGATGATGTGAGATAACACACTGAAGTGATGAGATGAAGTGAGGTGAATGACGTAGGCTTTGTGATGTAGTGTTAGGCTATGACACATCAAGAGATCATCTGCTTCCAGACTGTGGTTGACCACAAGCAGCTGAAATCATAAAAGCAAGACTGTGGATCAGGGGGGATTACTACATTTTCACCTCTCCTTTGCTTTTATTGCTTTAATTACTTTGACCCTATGACTATATACTATACCTGAAAATAAAACAATGCTCTCAAAATGCCATACACAGAGTTGCCTGCCCTGAGTAGGTATTCTTGTTCCAGATGCTCTTAATCATTCCTTCTTCCCCTTTGCTATTGTATGCCCTTTTCATTTCCACTCTTAAAGATTCCTTCCTACATTTCAGGATCCAGCCATGCTTTCTTTCCCCTGATATCCTGCTCTCTCCAAGTTCTTATGTGTGATTAGCTCATTCTAGAAGGTAAAGGGTTATCATCACTCAGTTCTTACAGCTCCTACTGAAAACTCTCTACTCTCTCAAAATTATCCTATAGTCTCCCATTCCACTTCTCCCCCCAAAATTTCTTCAAAAATGTGGGGTTTCTCCTGTGAGAGAAATAATTTGATTTCATCATTACAATGCAGTATTATTACATTTACTGAGTTTGCTCTTCCAGAACCATAAAATTAATCAACAAGGACAGGATTAAAATAAAGCTCCAGTGATAAACATTCTGATACTTTCTTCAGTGGCTATATGAGTCCCTTGTTTTGTAGTATGTAACTATGCCAACCATCTTCTGCACTTGTTGATGGCCTGGACACATTCCTATGAGTCTCACAAATAAAATCTCTTTATTCCATTTTATTTAAGTCTTTTCTGCAGGCTCAAGGGTAGTTGACACAAGGCAAGGAAAGAGCGTAGCAAGTGCAGAGCAAAGCAAGATTTGAGTGTGGGAATGGGGCAAAGGTAGGGAGGTGCAAGAAGCCTGAAATGGGACGTTCATTGGTTTACTCATCAAAAATGCAGTGAGCATCTTAAGTGCATTGGGCACAGGTCCTGGGGGCACATCAGCAGTGAAAGTTGAGGTCATTACTAAAGTCTATTACTTTTTAACACAGGGATAGATAATTTAAACTTTTTCTTCTAGGTATTAGTAACCATAAAATGGTTATGATCTCACTTTTTGAAATGACTCGTTGTACTATGGAGCATAAAAGATTGCATGACTAGAAAATAATAGTTACAATTTAAGTAATCAAGGTCAAGGACCAATGAGAAGACAATCAATGACAGTGACAGTGGGACTGGAATTTGGAAATGTCTAAAAAGTACAATAACTAAATTGCATTACTAAATAATAGAAGTTCAAGAATATTGGCAAACTTTTTCTTAATTCCTAACATGAAACTAATAAAATCACTTCTTAATCCCATTGAATTAAAAATATTTTATTTAAATAAAACTGATAAATAACTAGTAACTATTACAATTTTACAAATATTTTATTTTATCAGTGCAGAGCCCAGTGCGGGGCTTGAACCCACAGACCATGAGATTATGACCTGAGCCAAAAGAGTTGGACACTTAACCGACTGAACCAACCAGGTGCCCCTATAATTTTACAAATATTTTAAACTAAAGCAATATGAAAATTATATTAATGTTCATGGGGGTTTTTTTAGTAATACCTACTTTATTTTCACAACTAATAATCTATGACAATACACCATAAATAAAGCCAAGAGTAAAATAAAGGTGCTTTCATATAAGAGAGAGTTATTTTAGGGAGAATTGAAAACATAGTCAGTCATGCTGATATTATATCTTGTTTTTAATTATTCTATATAATAAAATCTAGCCTCTTTTCCTCCCATTTTTTTTACAAATAATTCATTAGCAATAAAACCAGTCACTGAGACAAATTATCTGTAAATGTCTTCAATAAATTTAATACTAAATAAATAACTTTGTCCTATATTTCAGGAACACCTGAAATATAATTACCTTATTTTAGTTAATTAAAATTGTGTTTTAAATTTAAAATCTACATGCTAATCCTTTTAACAAACATATGTGAGTTTTTACTTGTGACTTTTAAACACCAAACAACTCAGGAATAATACATCAGGCAGCTGTAAATATAGATGTTCTAAAGATTTAGGGAATTCTTATATCCAAACATGGCCTTTCCAATTCCACAGAGTTCTGATGCTTTGTGCCAGATCCTTTCACACACATTGCCTTGTTTAGTCTTCCATCTTGGGAAGGAGAATTTTACAAATGAAGAAACTGAAATTTTCAAAAACAAGCTATTTCCCATGTCACATGATTCATAAATGTTGTGAATAATAATTTCAAATGTGGTGCTGTTCTACATTGCTAAGATGCCATTGCAAATACTATATTGCCAGGCATAGTGATATGGTAACAACAAAAATTAAGAGAAAAAATGTAATTCCAAATGAAAAATTTAACAAATTATTCAGAAAGCAGAATGGTCTCCCTTTTGTGAGAAATACCTCTTTCCTGCTATCTAACATGCAGTCACCATGAGGGCCTAAACTGGTTCATTTTTATTGCAATTTTACAATCTAACTTATTACTATGACCCTCCAGAGCCACTTAGAATCGGGGCTTCTAGACCATCTTTCAGCAGATAAAAGAAATGTTCTCTGGAAAACATTTCTGTGCTGTAGAGATGTCTCAGAGCATTCACCCAATCTGGCTCAGTTCCAGATTCTGCTTTGCAGTTTAAACCACTCTTTGTGGAATTAATCATCAATATTGTTCAAACTGCAGATGGGGCCCTGTAGGACAGAGAAGGCTGAGTAGAGCAAACAAGTTAATAAGCTAGAAAAATACGGGCCGGTATTGCTGTACTTGAATACTCGCAGATAGGGTTCCTTTGAGTAAAATGATATGGAGAACAACCAGATTACCAAATATTTACTAAGGTTGCATATTTAACAAATAAAATAACACAAAATAAAGGGAAAGGTCTAAATACCTTTTGTTTTCATAATAAAAATAAGGTTGGAAAGAAAAAAATTAAAAACAATTTCCTTTTATTGTCTGTATCAAAGTATAATAATTCTTTTTATTCTATTCACAGCAGGCAATTTTTCCCAAATGACTAATGTAAAGAAACAAAAAGTATACTATAAGTGCACTGCCATAATAGTAACCTATAGAATATAGGAAAACAATATAATTACTTTTACCAGTATTACATATTGTGATGTTGTCAACCAGCAGTGAGGGGAATCATTATGAAGAGAGTGAAATCAACTATAAGACCTCATGATTAAATATGTAGAGAAATAAACCAAGAATATTTCCCTTTCCCCCTATGCATTCTTCCCTTCATCATGTGCAATCCCAACTCGATCTGTTGAGCTACTTGTTTCAAAGGATTTGAGCAGTCACCTCCAATCCTCTAGACCAGAAAGAAAACCTTGGACCGAAACCACCAGAAAATATGTAGGAAAAGGCATTTTGGGTATTCCCAATTTATTAAGTTGAGCTATTCATCACAATGATTAAATATGCATTAACTCTAGTGTTCTCAACACATGTTATCTATGTTATTATCAGGGACTTTACAAGGGCAAGACAGTAGAATAAGGAAGTGTCTTGTCTCCACAAAGAATTTAAAAGCAACCTTACCAGCTATTTTTCCAAAGAAGACATACAGGTTGGCCAACAGACACATAAAAAGATGCTCAATATCATTAATCATCAGGGAAATGCAAATAAAAACCACAATGACATATCATCTGACACCTGTCAGATGGGCAATAACAAAAACACAAGAAATAACAAGTGCTGGAGAGGATGGGAACCCTCATGCACTATTGGTGGCAATGTCAATTGGCACAGCCACTATGGCAAACAGTATGCAAGTTATTCAAAACATTAAAAACAGAACTATCAAACAATCCAGCAATTCTATTTCTAGGTATTTATCTGATGAAAACAAAAATACTAACTTGAAAAGACATAGGCACCTCTATGTTCATCGCAGCATTGTTTGCAATAGCCAAGACATGGAGGCAGCACAAATGTCCGTCAAGAGATGAATTCATAAAGAAGATATGGCATATCTAGAGAAAACAATAGAATATTAATCAGCTATAAAAAAGAATGAAATCTTGACCTTTGAGACAACATGGATGGAGCTAAAGGGAATTATGTTAAGGGAAATAAGTCAGAGAAAGAAGACAAACACTCTATGACTTCACTTATATATGGAATCTTAAAAACATAACAAATGAACAACAAAAAAATGGAAAGACTCATAAATATGGAAAGCAAACTGATGGTTGCCAGAGGGGAGGGGAGGGGAGGGGGGATGGGGGTATAGACAAAATAGATGAAAGGAATTAAACAGAACAGTCTTCCAGTTATAAAGTAAATAAGGCATGGGTATATAATGTACAGCATAGGGAATATAGTCAATAATATTGTAACAACTTTGTATGGCAACAAATGGTAACTAGGCTTATGATGGTGACCACTTCATAATGTACATAAATATCAAATCTCTATGTTGTACATCTGAAACAAATAAAATTTGTATGTAAATTATTCGATAAAAAATAAATAAAATTTTAAAATGAAAGGAAAGGAAAAGAGAAAGAATAGGGCATACAAGGGGAAAGCAAATAAAGAGATAATTTACAGTCTTGTTAGACAAAAGGATTCATGCTCTCCCTAACAGACATTTTGAGGAGTTTTTTTTTTTTTTTTTCATGTTTTATTTTACATTTGAGAGAGAGAGAGAGAGAGAATGAGCAGGGGAGCGGCAGAGAGATAGAGGGAGACACAAAATCTGAAGAAGGCTCCAGGCTCTGAGGTGTCAGCACAGAGCCAGATGCAGGGCTCAAACTCATGAGCAGTGAGATCATGCCCTGAGCCAAAGTCGGATGCTTAACCGACTGAGCCACGCAGATGCCCCTGAGGAGTTCTTATTAGATAGTATATTTAGTCAGGGTTCTCTAAAGAAACAGAACCAACAAACAGGATGTAAAATGTGTGTGTATGTGTGTGTGTGTGTGTGTGTGTGTACATATGAATAAATTGGAATTGGTCTATAAGATAATGGAGGCTGAGAAGTCCCATGATCTGCAGTCAGCAAGCT